TTTTTAACTCTGAAGGTCTAGCAGAGATTAGGTGAACGGTGGTTGTTTTCAAAGTGTCCCTTGTCAGAAGGCAGGCCCTCCCATCTGTAGAAACAATAAAAGTGCGTCTGGAATTGTACTTATCCCTCCAAGTTCTGAAAGCACATTAGGGAAGAATAACAACACATTCCGCTTCGGCGGCAAAGTGCTAATTAAAAACGAACTTCAGTGCTCCCAGAGGTAAAATATTAGTGTTATTTTTAAAATGAAATTAAGCATCACAACCTTCTTCCTCTTTTCATTGTTATAAAAATATTTAGCAGCCGAGTCTGTTTGATAATGCAGGCCTCTCTTAAGAGTGTCGGTATTATCAGCACAGTCATAAAATATTTTCTGCGTTGTCCATAGACAGTGAAGGATCTGTTGCTAGTGGGACTTAAGATCTATTTTAGGATGCCTGCTGGCTACAAAATAATTACTGATACTTGCTAATGCCTGAATCTGTTGGATTTAGCAGCAGGAAGTTCTTTGTTTTCAATGGAAGGGGGAAGTTATTTTTCTTATAGAAATTTCTTTGTTGGTGGTATTAGAGAGGATTAGGGTGGGGTTGAAGTACTTGAAAATGCAATTAATCTAATCCCTTTAACAGCAATTGTTTTCATATTGATAATTCTCTGTAACAACAGCATTACAGATCACAACCTTGTGAAATATTGACACTAAATATTTTAGCATAAAAAATCTCTCCCCAGCTCTCTTTTTCTATAGAATGGTAACATTTTCAGCTTCTTTGGCCTTCTTTTCTTTCTCTCTCACCTAAAATGGGAGCTTTCTTCTCAGGGGGCCAGAATAATATATATTTTTTTAATCCTGCTAATTTTCTCTCAATGTCAGTGTCTCTCAGTCATTATGTTAATGGCCAGCAAATCATTAATCTCCTAAAAAGAGTGTGAGTAGGAAACAAGAACAGTTCTATTGATTTCTTTCTTTTCTTTTCTTTCTTCCTTTCTTTTTTTTTTTTTTTGTATCTACAGTCATTTGGTTTAGATTCTCATGTGAAATGATTTGCTTACCCATCAATTTCAATAAGTTGTTATGCTGTTAAAATTACCACGAAGGTGAGAAAAGTAGATGAAGGACGAAACTGTCCTTCTGGTCAACCTCTGATCATCTCCATTGTAAACTGGGAATTGATCTGAATCTGATCAAATGTCACGTTACCCAGGAGAGACTTCCCGTCACCTCCCAATATAAAATCGCCCTCAGAATCCCTCCTCACTGCCCTTCTTCCCTTCAATAGGCTGCCTCTTTCTCTGCAGCACAGAACATTATAAAACCTTATATATTTGTTTCCTTGGTGCATCTCCCCCCAACCCCCAACAAAGATGGACGCGCTGCCAAAAGCAAGGACTCAGATGTGTTCAATGCTGTGTCTTGGGAGCCAAGACAAGGAAGGGCCTTAACGATAGTGATATCATAGGCAACCAATAATTATCAAGTGTAGCAGGCACTTATCCGATGCATGAAGCTCTTCTCAGTTTTACTTGGTGCCTGAAGCAGCAGATCGGGGCAGAGCAGGGACCTTTCCTCCTTGTGCTGGCCGGCATCTCGATGGCTGGCCACGTGACGGGAATGTGAGCGTTTATCCTGAGCCCACATCCAGCTGAGCCCCAGCTGAATGGCCCTGTGGGCAGAAGCAGAGACTGGGTGCTTCACCCGGGCGAGTCTTCATTGAAGGGCTAAAACTTCAGGTTGTGCGGTGCCTGTTTGGCATCCACATGTTTACCATTTTAAGAGCAGTTTAGCCGGCCGGCGTGGCTCAGTGGTTGAGCATGGACCTATGAACCAGGAGGTCACGGTTCAATTCCCAGTCAGGGCACATGCCCGGGTTGTAGGCTCCATCCCCAGTGGGGGATGTGCAGGAGGCAGCTGATCAATGATTCTCTCTCATCTTTGATGTTTCTATCTCTTCCTCTCCCTTCCTCTCTGAAAGTCATAAAGAACAGAGAATCTCCAAGGATGCTCTTCTGTGCACTAGCTATGTGCTATAGAAATAGGGGTCACTAAAACAAATGGGGAGTCCATGGTCTGATAAGCTTCTGAAACTAGGTAGGGCAGGAAGCTAAGGAAAGTTTAACTTCATGTGTGATCATGCTCATTAGAGCTCTCGAACGCAAGACTGTGTTAGGCCGTGTTTCCCAAACTCATTTGACCTTCGACCCTTCTTTTTGTACCAGCCACCCTCCTCCAAGGCTGGGTTGCCTCATAGGAAGTCCATTGACTTGGGAGTTGAACAAGCCGGCCGGGGCAGGGGCAGGAGAAGAGGGGCCTGGCTCTGCCACCTTCCTGACCTTGCTCTGTGACCTCCAGCACTTTCCTGGACACTCCCTGTGTCTCCGTTTCCTGTGGTGTGAGGTGGGGCTGAAAAGGACGACCCAGGATAATGTGTCTGACCCTGAAGTGCTAAATCACTGGTGATGATCGTCGACGTCTTTGATTGAATGTAGGAGTGTGTGCTGTTTAGACAGACATGGTCACGGATATTTCCTAAGCCAGGCTTGCTAGCCTTGACCTGTTCCCGGAACCACTTTGCTGCGCCTCCTGCTCTGTCTCGGCGCCCTCTGCCCTCTGAGAAGCTCTGCGCATCTCTGCTGAAGTCAAGGAGATGCTGGGTGGGCCTCCCTCAGGGTGCCCTGCCGAGTCGCCATCCTGTGTCCCATCCCCTTGACCTCGACCTCCAGGGGAGCCCATCCCATCCCCTCAACCTCCAGGGAAGCCGCCTGTGTCAGGAGGAGGGGCGCATCCACCCTGATGATGGTGCAGATGGCTACGAGCTGCTAGATTCGGAAGGGACCCTATTATTTTCAGTACATTTCAAAGGAAGGTGTGATCTGTGTAAATCTGACCCCTTCCCGTTAAGTGTGCATTTCCATCTATTTAGAATTTATAAATCCCGACAGATTCCGCCGTATTTATAGCCCTCCGTAAGAAGCCCGCGCCTGGTTCTCGGAGTTTTGCATTTAGCTCCCCGGTATGCTGAAGAGAGTTTAAATAATAATAAATTTGGTGATTTATTCCACCTGGAACAGAAACTTATTCTCCCCTCCTGGCTCGTTCTGAAGGGGACACTATAAATAGCGCCGCAGACGCGGGGATCAGGAGTGGGGAATGGAAATGCGAGAGGGAAGTGCAGAAACATCTCCATTATCTCGGATGCCCTGCCTGTATTTCTGAAACAGCCCTGTTCCCCCAATAACGCGCCTTCTCTTCTTTCTCCGGCCCCGTCTCAGTTACACGCGAGGCCCGAACCTGTTGCCCGCGTTGGGATCCGGTTGCATTAATGGGGAAGAGCGAGGGGAAGAGTCGCTGACGTGGGAGAAGGTGGCCTCTGGGGCCCGAGCAGGTCTCCGATGCTCACCTCCCATTTCACAGGCGTCAGCGGAAACTGAGCATCCTCGTCTAAAGTGCAAATGCATCATGGGAGCCCCAGCTCATGCACCGCAGGTCTGGCGGGACAGGCTCTCAGCTCAGGGAAGAGGGGGATAAAGAAAGTCTAATTGCAATTCCACAGCCTCAGGGCAGTGTCCCAGGGTGGATTCTTGCTGCCGCCTCTGCTTAGCATTCCCGGGTCAGGATCAGCCAGGAATACCTGCAGGCTTGGCTGCCAATGACACCCCCTGTTTTCTTAAACACAAGAGAAACAGAAAGCAGGAAGCCGGTTGACTGTCTGAGAAGCTCCAGGTGAGGGCTGAGAGCAGCCCTTGGTGCAGCATAGACGGTGTCACCACCTGTGGCGGTGGGACGAGGGGCCCGCTGTTCAGCTTCTTGTTTGATGGGACTGTGAAGGAAGTAGCCTTCGTGAGGCGGAAAACAATGGTAGGGGTTCATGTCCTTGGACCGCCGACGGTGGCCAGCTCAGAGCGCAAAGCAGTGGTCCCCTGGCTCTTTGCCACACCCTCCCAGTTAAGTACTGGCATTTCCTGGTCTGATTCCTGGGAGCACAGGCCCGCCCCTGTCTTCCTGAGCGATCCCCGGGCCTCCGGCTAATGGGGTGGCAGATGTCTGGGCCAAGCCCCAGAGCCTGCAGCAGACCGCATCCTAATGATTTGCGGCCAGCAAAGTAAATGCTTTCATCGCAGGCTCTGTGGAGCGGGGACCCCGTTGAGGATGATGGATTGGAGGCCACGCGAATAGTGTCCCACGGGGGTGTGGTTTCCCAAGCAGGACGCAGGTATCTCAGTTCATTGCTCATCCCAAAGCTCTGCCTGGAATCTGGCTGTTTGAGGAACGGGGCTCTGGAGACACGTCCTTGAGGCTCGGAGGAATTTCCTTGCTTTTCCTAAAACACGTCTGTGAGCGGCCGCGGCGGTATGGAGCAGCAGACAGCCGCTCGGTGTCTCAGATGCTTCTGGGACCACGTTATGGGTCTAACACATACGGGATAAGTAAACGGTTTCCACTTCCTAACGCCCTTGGAAAGAAACCAGGCAAGAAAATTAGCATACTTTTTTTTCTTAAGCAATCAAATAGGAGACTCCAATTAGGGCAAATAAAAGTGATTACTGCAGCCCGGCTGGCATGGCTCAGTGGTTGAGTGTCAACCTGTGAACCAGGAGGTCACAGTTAGAGGTCACGGTTCGATTCCCGGTCAGGGTACAGGCCCAGGTCACAGCTTGATTCCCAGTGTGGGGCGTGCAGGAGGCAGCCGATCCATGAGTCTCTCTCATCATTGATGTTTCTCTCTCTCTCTCCCTCTCCCTTTCTCTCTGAAATTAGTGAAAGTATATTTTTAAAAAATTATTACTGCAAACAGGTTTTTTTCTTCCTTTCTTCTTTTCTTCCTCCTTTTCTTCTTTCTTCCTTTTCTCCTTCCTCCCTCCATCCATCCCTCCCTCCTTCCCTTCCTTCCTTCCTTCCTTCCTTCCTTCCTTCCTTCCTTCCTTCCTTCTTAACAGCAGCAAGATGGCAAGCCGTGTGCCCAGCCCATGTTTGACACACCCTCTTGTGTTCCTCTTCCCCAGGGCAACCCCTACATGTGCAACAACGAGTGTGACGCGAGCACCCCCGAGCTGGCGCACCCCCCGGAGCTGATGTTCGACTTCGAGGGGAGACACCCGTCCACCTTCTGGCAGTCGGCCACCTGGAAGGACTACCCCAAGCCTCTCCAGGTGAACATCACTCTGTCCTGGAGCAAAACCATCGAGCTCACGGACAACATCGTCATCACCTTCGAGTCGGGGCGCCCGGACCAGATGATCCTGGAGAAATCCCTGGATTACGGGCGCACATGGCAGCCCTACCAGTACTACGCCACGGACTGCCTGGACGCCTTCCACATGGACCCCAAGTCCGTGAAGGACTTGTCCCAGCACACGGTCCTGGAGATCATCTGCACCGAGGAGTACTCCACGGGCTACATGACCAACAGCAAAATCATCCACTTTGAAATCAAAGACAGGTTCGCCTTCTTCGCCGGGCCCTGGCTGCGCAACATGGCCTCCCTCTACGGCCAGCTGGACACGACCAAGAAGCTCAGAGATTTCTTCACGGTCACGGACCTGAGGATCCGGCTGCTGAGGCCGGCCGTCGGGGAGATTTTCGTGGACGAGCTGCACCTGGCGCGCTACTTCTACGCCATCTCGGACATCAAGGTCCACGGCAGGTAAGTGCCCGTCCCTCCCTCGTGAGTGAGGACAGGGGTGTTCATAGGAAATGCGGGGGGGGGGGGTGTTCTTGCAGCCGGAGAATGCTTGTCAATTTCTACCTCAGCGGATTCTCAGGAGCCCCAGCCTGGAGGTGGGTCCTGAGGCACCTGCGGCCCTTCTCACTGAGCAGTGATTGGTGAGCCCAGAATTGCTGTCCTCAGGCCTGAACCTGGCAGGATTACGTAGAATTTAAACAAATGGGGGGATGCGCGTCTTAGAAAAGGGCCTGGAAAACAAGCAATGCCTCTTCCTGTTGTTTCCAAATGCCAGAGAGGGCCTGCACCATGGGAGGCTTCCTGTGGTTTTGTTCTGTCGAGCAAAAATCTCTGAAACGGAAGCTGAGTTTCTTGAAATGGGTTAAATCAGAGCCACACGCATTTAGGGAAAACAACACATTTGTTTAGAGGGGGCAAGCTGTATTTTCTGGTTCTTCTGATGCGGTTGCTTTAAAAGCTATGCTGCCGCGTGGCCCTGAGTCAGCCCCCTTCTTGCTGTGGGGCAGGCACAGGTGGAAGAGTTTAGGCAGCATCGGTCCCGGTCAGGCTTACCTTAGGTTTTGATAATGTACCTGACACACAATTGAGCAAGTTACTAAGAACGTTGAGGTGTTTACATGGAAAGCTTCACTCATTAGAACCAGGACCACCAAAGCAGAGATTTTCAACCCGATTTTTTAAGTGTGGGATGTCACCAAAGTCACCAACGGGTGGAGGTTGGAGCGTGAGATGAGTTGGGAAAACTAAAGATGAGTGGACTGTACAGCAAAAATGGGAATAAGAAAGCAAATCAAGGCAGTAATCATTCTAAAAATGTCAGGATAGCTCTAAATCAGAATATACGGACATAAGACTATAAACCATGCATAAATCATCTACGTTTAATTAAGTAATCATAAAATTTTAACAAAATAAGGCAGGATTTTTAAAAATATATATATTTTTATTGATTTCAGAGAGGAAGGGAGAGGGAGAGAGAGATTGAAACAACAATGATGAGTGAGAATCATTGATTGGCTGCCTCCTGCACGCCCCACTCTAGGGATCGAGCCTGCAACTCAGGCATGTGCCCTGACCAGGAATTGAACCTTGATCTCCTAGTTCCGTGGTCGGCAAACTGCGGCTTGCGAGCCACATGCGGCTCTTTGGTCCCTTGAGTGTGGCTCTTCCTAAGCCTTAGGAGTACCCTAATTAAATTCATAACAATGTACCTACCTATATAGTTTAATTTTAAAAAATTTGGCTCTCAAAAGAAATTTCAGTCGTTGTACTGTTGATATTTGGCTCTGTTGACTAATGAGTTTGCCGACCACGGTCCTAGTTCTTCTGTCAATGTTCAACCACTGAGCCACACCGGCCGGGCAAAATCCCACCAGATTTACTACTTTCCTTTTACCCCTCACCCTGGTAGAACCCTCCCACTGCACTGCAATGGTTCCGAGGAGTTTGGAGGGGGCCCCCACCTCCCTTCCCTGGGACTCACCCGCTGCCTTTTCCTGGTCACCAGTCACCTGTAAGCTGGTGAGGAAGCAGCTGGGCAGGAGACAAAGGTGTAATAGAGGTGAGCCCCTCCCATCTGGTCCCCTTCTGTCACCTCCAAACTCCTGTCCAAATTCCTCAGGGCAAAGCCGATGTTGGCGTGTGCTGTGCTGGGCGCCAGATGGCTGGGGTATTTTTAGTCTTGGGGGAGGGACTAAAGAAGCCAGGCCCGTGGCCAGGCGTGTCTCCAGCTCCTAAGTTATATAAGGAGCGTGGAGCCCCGCGAGGGAGCTGCTGCCTGGGCGGCAGACCTGTCAGCGTGGAAGCTGGTAGACGCTTCACCCTTGAACGTCTCGGCCTCGTCTGTCTTTCTCTGAGCGCACCATCCAGAGGAGCCTTGAAGGGGAATTGGTGATCTCGGAAAGCAAGTTCTGAAGGTTCCTTTTCGAGAATATCACACACGGAAACTTTCCCAAAAAGTTGTTTCCATCACTACTCCTCCCTCCATTCATGGGCTGGTTGCGATACTTAACGTGCCTTTCCATGTCTGTAATGATCATTATCATGATTTTTTTTTTCTGCCTGTCACGCCACAAATAATGTGGGAACTGGAGTGAGTTATTTGGGGACACCAGGGAAATGGCCATAGAATAGTGGACAGAGAATACAAGATTTTTTTCACCTTGAAATGTTAAGCGAGGCAACGAAAGCAGGTGGGGGATCTTGGAGCTGGCTGACCATGAACTCCAGGTCTTTATTTCTTGTGCACAAATGTACTTGGTGGTTATGTATCATACTGGCTGGCATTGTTTGGTGTAAAAAAAAAATTAATGTTGCGATGGTCATAAGACGAAGGTCGCATTTAGGTTCTCTTTAGCATGTGACACATCTGAGACCTCTTTTACTGGTGACAAAACCTGAACTCCCACCGTAAACATTGCAGCCCTCTTCGGCTACACGTTTCTTCTGCCGCCACTTCCTCCCTCGCGCTGTGCGCTTATTCCCGTCGAAGAGGAGGAAGGTGGCTGTTGGCGCTCTCGGCCGCTCCGCCGTCCTTACCTTGTTCAATCAACCTAATAATCTCCTGGGACTAATTCTGACTTGTGGATGTCCTCCTTCCGTAAATCAGGCTGCTTTTCCCTAATGAATAATAGACGAGTGCAGTGTGCCAGCACCTTAATTAAAGAGTGCCTCTCTTCGTCTTCATCTCATTTTAATTTACAGGGTAATACTACAATAATATCACTAATGGAAGGTACATTAAAGGACATCAAGTAGCATTAACTGTATTAAATTATGGTACTTGTGTTAATTAACTGCCGAAGCAAGATGGTTCTAATGGCCAAAAAGGTCGTCTAATGCATAAATAAAATCTACCCAAATGAGAGGTGAGGGGAGGAATGGGGAGGAGATGTTTGTTCCGAACATCTTTTTATACCGACAGGGAGCTGAGCCCATGGGCTGTGAATTCTAAGGTACAAAATGTTTTCTTAGTTACACATGGAAAGTTTTGATTTTGAAGTGTTTTGTTTCCGCCTAAGCATTTGCTAATTACATTGAAAAGTTGAACATTATATTTGTCAGATGCATTGATTTTAGAGAACGTAAACTCAGCCTGAGTTATTGTTTGTTTGAGGTGCCCAGTTTCAAGGAAGTGATGTAATTTATTGTAATCATTGTAACACTGGACAGACAAGGGAACATTGGATGATACGCTCACCTGTTTGTGAGGTGTGCTGTCAGCAATGGCTCAAGGTACTGGACTCAGTCACAAGGTGATAGAAATTCCTTTTCAACTTCAAAATCTTTAGGATAGAATTGTAAGGCCTTTTCTCAGTGGCCTGGAAAACTCGAACCAGCATCTCTAGTACTTGTCTTGTTAGAGAGTGAGTACCCCTAAACATAATCGCCAATAGTTTCCCGCAGTGGTGTTCACCCATGTCTTACCCTTGGCAGCTACCCAAGTTCTTTGCAGGCAGTTGGCCATCAGCCTCTACTGGCAGAAAGGACTTTGCCTTCTGAGCCTCTGTCGTTCATCTCTGAGAAAGGAGCCGGGCACCGCTAGCATGAAAGCTCCACTTCTACACACTTTTTGGTGCTGCCCCAGCTGGAACCCACTGTCCCTCTCTGATCCCAGGACGGGGAAAGGCCCAGGGACAGAGCCCCTCGGGCTGGGTGTCAGGAGTGAGAAAGGCCCTTCCCTGTCACCCTCAGAAGGAACCAGATATCTTCGTAAAGCCTCACTGTTTAAATGCCACCACCTTGGTGTTTGCTATAATCAGGAAATTCACTTTCTTGAATCAAGGCTTTCAAATGGTTCATGGGAAAGTGTGCGATCATGGGAAAGTAAGCAAGAACACTGAGGGGAGCTGCAGAGTATGAACGCAGTCGGGCTTCCCCATGCTTCCTCAGACAATTTAGGGAAAGCCGTGTAGCGCACAAGTGGTCTGGGGAGGACAAAAGGCTTCCGGTCCTCCTGCAGGTTCACTGAGTCCTTCTCTCAGCCGCAATTTGAACAAATCTGCCAAAATATTTACTCTTCACCTGTCAGGTGAGAGGCGCCAAAGCCCGGGGTCTGGCCTTCGTTCATTCTTCCCAATGAGTCTTAATCATTGAAGCTGGGTTTTACCACCACCCAACAGACTCTGCTTTTATAACGCCTTCCTCCTGTCACCAATAACTACTCATCCTCCATCCCGGCCAGACGCCGGCTTAGACGGTGGACATATGGAGAAGCACAAGGCGTAGTCAGTGCTCGCAAGAAGCCGATGCCCACAAGGACACAGACATGTAAACAGAAAAGGAGGACCGTGTGTGTTCAATGCTTTTGCCACATGGGTGTGGAAAGTGCCCTGGCAACAGAAAAGTGGCTCATTTAATGCAGGAAGCCTAGCGAATGCTTTGATGAGGATGTGATATTTGCACGGTGTCTTGAAATATGTACTTTAGAATGTGGAGCAGCCAGGGCCCAACGGATCTTTTAGGTGACTCACTGTGCTTAAGAACAGCACACCTGGTAAGCAACTCCAAGTAGTTGGACAGATCCTGGGAGATGGGTTCCGGCATCTCCAAGAAGCACTGACGGACTCCTACCTTGGGCCTTGAGCCCCCCATGCCATAGAAATATAAAGTTCTCTGGGTTCTTTTTTTTTTTAATATATATTTTATTGATTTTTTACAGAGGAAGGGAGAGGGATAGAGAGTCAGAAACATTGATGAGAGAGAAACATCGATCAGCTGCCTCCCCCACACTCCCTACTGGGGATGTGCCCGCAACCAAGGTACATGCCCTTGATCGGAATCGAACCTGGGACCCTTCAGTCCGCAGGCTGACGCTCTATCCACTGAGCCAAACCGGTTAGGGCGTTCTCTGGGTTCTTCAGTGTCTACTACGTGCAGGTGAGGAACTTTCCAGAGCCATGGAATGAAAGGCTGTTCCCACATGGCTGTGTTGAACAAGGAGATGCAGGGAGAGACCAGGA